CTGTTAGTCTTAAAGGTGCCACAGGACTCTCTGTTGCTCTAAACAGTAGCCTAATTTTCAGAGGTACTAAGTACCAACACCACTAACTGATGTCAATGGAAGCTATGGGTGCTCAACACCTCCGAAAACCAAGCCTGAAAGGTCAACACTGTACACAAAAAATGATGTATCCAAAATCTGAGGGTAATTTTTCAAACTCTCTTTTCCCTCCCACCCCTTGCACATAGGCTGCTCCTTCAAACAGTTTTGACTCTGAAACTGAGTCCTCATATCCACATAGGATGAGATAAAGTCTGAGAATGTGAAGGATTGACACTCTCTGTGCAGCACTAAGCATGAAGCAAAAAGAGTTTGTTTGTTTATTTCACAAAATCCTTACGTTGCTTCTCCTGACACTGTATTAACCTACTGGTCATATACAGTCTTTTTCTAAAGCAAAATACTCCCTAATAGTTTCTGATTTGATCAGAATTTTTCTTAAATATAAGTTAGTAAGCTCTTTTCAAGTGGCTGAGGAAAGGTTAAACTGTAAGAATTCAGTTTGCAAAAATGCTAGTCAAATTTAGTTTACTGCCCGAGTTAAACAGATTCAACTAGATACTAAAGATTGAGTTTGCCAGAAGCATTTAGTATTTCTTGGTTTACAAGTCTGGGGCGTTTTTTTTGTGACAGGCTTCCTTTGAGGGTTTTTGTTGTTGTTGTTGACTTGTTTTTATACTAGAAGAGAGTGGCCACACCCACTTTATTTTAAAATACCAAATTACTGGTTTGCTTGCTCAGGATTTAAAAAAAACTGACCTATACACACACTAACTACAAAGAGCAATCACTTACCGAGCCTGGACACAATCCACGGTGCCTTTGTAGCTGTCTATGTAAGTACTACATAAAATCCCATCTCCAACTGCTCTAGCAATAAATTGGCCCACTAACTGCAACAGAAGAAAAATATTTTTGAGACACTGAATTCAACATGATTTCTGAATAGACATTTTAACTTACATAGTTATTTGGGTTTTGTTTTTAAAATGTGGAGGTTATTCACCTTGGGTAGTAGCTGGAATTATTCACCTATGGGTGCTCCACTTTGGGTGCACACAGACCCCATGTGCCTTTGATCAGAGATTTTAGATAGCAGTGCCCATTTGACCTAGTCATGAGCTTGTCATCCTCATGCCCCATACCAAGGATATACACAGCTGTGCAGGCAAGCCACCCTCAGCTCCTTCTCTACCATGAAGTCACGCAAGATAATTCTTTGAAGCAAAGGGGAAGGAAGGCAGAGGAAGAATTCCAGTTACTGCACAAGATGGGCAACTTCTTTCTTTGAATATTGGCCTATGGGGGCTTCACTTCAGGTGACTCCTGAGTGGTATCCCTTGAAGAAAGAGGGGGCTTTGGAGCTGGATCCAATACTGAAGAAAGGACTGCCGTGACAATAGCAACAACCAATCTAGAGGCATGTATCAGGATGCACTGCACAGAGAAAGTGTGCACTGATGCCCAGATTGCTGCTTAGCAAATTGAAGCCATTGGTACATTTAACAAGATGGAGATGTTCTGAACCCTCAACCACACCACCAAATTTGAGGTTTCAATGATGACACAAGGCTGGGCGATATTAGTGGTCATAGTGGGGGGGCCTCTTCTTTTGATATCTTGGTCTCTTAGGCAGTTTGGCTGGTCTATGAAAGCTGAAGAATTGGACCAGATGGGATTTCTGTCTCATTTGGGCTCTGCTAAATTTTCTTTTATCTGCAGTTGTATATAAACACCAAAACCTGTGTGTGGCCCTTGAATCCAGTAAAGGTGTGCAAGGATTAGTCGGTGGACTCACTCAAGCGTCAGTCCATCAAAGGGAAGGTCTTCTACAGTAATCTGAACCTCCTTAGGCAATCCCGACAGCTGCAGCCAAGATGCTCGACATGACAACAGCAGTCGAGATGGAACAAGCTGCAGTGTCAACTGCATGTAGGGAAGTTTGCAAGACAGTCCTCGCTGAGAGATGACCCTCAGTTATGGTAGCCTAGAACTGTTCCCGTGTTCTGAAGGAAAGATGATCATTTAAAAAAAAAAAAAAAAAGCATTGAATTTGCTATATTTGATGTGATCATAGTTTGCCAGCAGAGACCGATAATTCTCTTTTCTAAACTGGAGAGTTGCAGAGGAGTAGCTTTTACACCCAAAGAGGTTGAGGCGCTTCTGGTCTTTACTGAACAGTGTAGACTTAGTAGGATGTTGTCTGCCATGCTCAACAACAACCCTCACAACTCTTTTTAGTGGTGAGGATGGTATGAGAATAAAAAAAAAGTCCAAAATGGTCAATCTTGATAGTGACCGAAGCTCTTTTGACAGCAGGGGTGGTATCCAGGCCTGGATCCAAGGCTGGTCAGAAGCAATATTCCATCACGAGGAGCCAAAGTTTAATCTATTTTTTTCCTAGTTCTACTTTTAGAAACTGAGGTCTTGCACTTGGCTGAGATGTGGGTATCCCCCACACAACAGATATGGGATACACTTGAAACCTAGGGATACTGGAATACCTGGTCGACAATGACCCCTTAGGCAAACCCCTCAGAATTGGGGGGGAGAGGTATTAAATGCAAACCCCCCAAATAAACTTAAGAGGTATGTGTGATGGGTCTCTAGGTACCCAGGATTGAGAGTCACCTTGTTACCCACCTGCCTGCAACATAACGAAGCCTTGCTTGTGGTAACTGGGTATTTGCTTGAATGGTGGTGTTAGGGAGCTCTTTCCTCTGGGCTGTTCAAGCCCTGTTTTTCCCTTGCAGGTTAACAACAGGTGCACCCCAGCCCCAGAGTCCCTTTGAATCATTTCCCTGTGATATCCAGCCCCTGTCACTGGCTAATCAAAGAAATCCCAGATCCTCTGCCCCCAAAGGAGCAGTGTACCCCAGTTCACTAGTTTTACCTCAAACTACTGTTCCTGTAAAAACAATTTTTTTTTTAAATACACACAACATATGTGAGCACTTACAATAAAACAAAAGTAGGTTTACTTAAAAAAGAATTCAGAGTTAACTAGGAACCGGAGAGTGGTGGAAACAAATGAATACAAAACAAAATCCTAAAACCTACAAATTTGTGTCTATGCTTATTAACAGTTACCTTGCCTATTTAATAAAGTAGGTTTTCCCTGCCAAGTTCAGTCTGTTGAAGAGCTGTCTGGCTTCACAGGAACCAGGATCCAATTTTTCACGAGAACATCCCTGCTCCCCAAGATGTCTCCTCACTGAAAGGAGGAAGAGCATCTTTCTCCTCTCTCTCCTATATTGAATCAGTCTTTTGTCTTTATTCATAGACAGGTTGAGCCTTTGTAAGGTTTTGTCTGTTGTAATGTTCCTTTTTTACCCCCATTGATAGTTTTAGGATGGAGCAAGGCTAAACAACGAACTAGGGTGGCATGACAACTCCCTCCTGCTTGAATGGGACACCACAGAGACATATTGTCCCTTAGTGACTAACTTTTACTTCAAGTCTATAAAACATACTTTCTATATAAATATATTATTCCTTAAATATTACATGTACGTACAGCTTGCAACAATTCTGAATCTTGACAAGGGCTTTCTGTAGATACTTTACCATGCTACTCTTTATGAATAATAAATACCCTCCAAGACCTGTGTTTGTCAGGTTGAGATAAGAGTTGTTTGCAAAGAACAGGAGACCCTCTGCGTTACAGTATGATTATCAAAAGAACTAAAACTGAACTAAAGACTCGAGGCCAAGCTAGAGCAAAGCTGAAGTGTGCACACTAGAAGCTCTGTCTCAGGCCATCAGGCAGCTGAGAAGGAACGGAGGGCAGTTTGCCTGCACAGCTTCATGTATCCTTGGAATGGGGCACAAGAATATCTGGAGTGCCTGCGAGGGCTAAACGGGCATTACTACAAACAAAAAGTCTGATCAGAGGTAAACGGAGCACATGCGCACCTGAAGTGGGGCATCTATAGGAACACTACTTGAATAAGGGTTAGTTTTGCTACACAAATTAAAAAAAACAAAAAGGGAAACTTCTCAAATTAAAACACTGATCTGGGAGTTAGGAAGGGGAGTGGTAAGACAGAAGGGAGCTACAGCATACAAGTGATAATACCACAAAAATACATTACACTTTATTTCATGAAGCAGTTTAACTGAACGACACTAACCATGGAGGTTAAAGTCAAAGATCTGGTGCAAAGGGCTGTAGGCATACCTGTGGTGCTCTGGGAGAATCCAACATCAATTCAGGTAGTTCTTTCAGTAGTCTATCAAATGATTTTTCCACATCACTTGTGCTCACTACTGTCCCACAAAGGTCAGAGAGGAGCTTAGATGTCATTTCTCTGTGACTAGCCTTCCCCTCTAATGACAATGATACGGCCAACACTGGCACACTGTATTTCATTTCACCAAGATTTAAATCCCTCAGCATCTCCTAAATAAGATTTGAAGAAAATATATTAACATTTTAATAAAAAAAAAGTTAACAATTAATAAAAAAAAGAATTAAAAGATTTAATAAAAAAATTTCAAATAATCACTACAAGGGCAGAAGGAAGGTTGTTTGGGTGCCTTAACTGTGCATTTCCATATCAGCACTTCTATAATCTCGTTTGTAACTGGCTGTGACTTCCCATGTCAAGTGTGATATTTTAAAAAATACAAGTTGTCAGACATACCGCAACTTCATTAGTATCTCCATGTTCAAAGTATTCCTGTAACATTGGTGTTAAAGTTTTATCAAATGCTCTTTCATCCAAAGGTGGAACTACAGTTTCATAGACACAATTCTCCTGTTTAAAAAAAAAAAAGAAATCAGATACTACATCTGAACAGCAGCAGCGTCTCTCTTGCTCTCTTTATTGCAGAGCTTAAATGCTTTTTAAATCATTAACTCTTTGGTACTTGCAGCCAAGATTTCTATCAGCAATGACTGCATCATGCCTTTGTAATCAGTTTGTGGAAACTCATCAGTTCTAGAACAAAGATAACATTTCCCAAAAATATAAAAGCTGAATTTACTAGTAAGTAACATTAGAACTTCCAACATCGTAAGCACCTAGGATTCTTCTGGCACCATACTGTTAGAAACAAAATTTTCGTGTACCATACATAGAAGGGAAGGAGACAAACTCATATCCAGCTCTGCAGAAAGGCAAAAGCTTAACCAGACACCTTGCATCTTTCCCCACAAGCTACTCTCCCCTCCCCAATAAAGAAGCAGCCTGTTTTTCAAAACAGCTACATGGCCAGACCGCCAATAACATGTAAAACGTGTTAAGGAAGAAAAGGACTTGGCATTTAATTTTCAGGGTGTTTGGTAAAGTCAGTTAGAAGCACTCACAAAAGGGGGAAGAGATCATGCAGCAATTGGCCACGGGGCAGCCTGACCTTGTAGGGCAATATAAGCTTAAGAACCAGAACCCCAGCACAGCCAATCTTCCTCCATATCCCTCAGTTCCCCACTCCTCCTGGACTGACATGCTAATATTCAGACGTACGTAAGTAGATAGGTAGGGGTGTGAGAGTGTGGAAGGAATGGGATGGAAGGACAGTTCTGTAACAGGTTATGTCTGGGTGGAGGCGTGAGAGGAATAGATATATTAGTGTCCTGGACCACCATGACAGAGTCTGTGCTGCACACTGCATATGATATTCATTTGTAGTTCAAAGGGGTACTGCAGCCTCCATGTACAAGAGAACCATCACAGCTTGGACAAAAAGTGTAACATGGTGCTGCCTAATGGGGAAGCTAAAGAGGAAACCAGTACTTAACAGTCTGAAAAAACACATCCCGCGGTGTCTTTCATAAACTAAGAGCAGCAGCTTTGGTAAGACAGTACTTAAAGTGTCCGACTCAGCAGTTCGGCTTGATTTTTAAATGTTTGGAGGTTTTTTTTTTTTTTTTTTTTTTTTTTTAAACTGGGTCTACAACTCCCTATGACCCATTCAACTGTAAGCACTGGAAGGGAAAGCCACACTTGAGAGTGGACATTTACACACTTATCCTAGGCCAGTGGTCCCCAAACTTTTCACGGTAATGCCCCCTCTTTACCCCTGTCTACACCCACCCCCCAGGAGCCATGGCCCCACTCCCGGCCCCCGGGGGTGGGCACAGACAGGAGTAAGGGGGCAAGGCTGGGGCCACAGCTAGGGGCAGGGCTGGGGCCGGGAACAGAGCCACGGTTGGAGCTGGAGCAGAGCGGGGCTAGGTGGTGCTCCCGTCCACTGTGGGGGCTGGCCCGAGCCCCGCCATGCCCCCTCGAACATTCCTCTGCACCTCAGAGTTTGGGGACCTCTGTCCTAGGCTCTTTAAATATTGTCTGTAGCCTTAGACTCAGACTATCTATTCTCAACCCTCAACAAGCTACTATGCGCTATTTGAGAGGGCCAAGATACAACAGTGACTACTTTATGCATCTCTTTTCAGCTGTCAAGATACGCCCCCTTAAGCTTTGACACACAGCGTGGGCAGTGGTGTCAACATCTGTTAAAGAATCCTTTGACTTCAGCCATTAGATCTATATTTTACCTTCAAAGCAGTGCATCAAGCTGATTTCCTAGATTTGATGTGCACCACTGTATTAAAAAGCCACAGTGTTCCACATTGAAATTGATTTTATCTTGGTTCATACCCAAATACTGAAGATAGGACCATATGACCAGTTTTTCCCCCTACCAACTGCACAGAGTCTGTACAATGAGCAACTGCAGAAAGAGTTAAAAACTGAAAGGTGTACTGGCTTTGAACTCCTTCAGAGACCTGCAGCATTTAGTGTTCATGTCTAATAATTTAAAACAAAGAAGAGAAAAAGCTACCACACGTACTTAGCAGTTGTACCTCTGTGTCTTTACTATAAAGTATATGTCAAGAACCTGATTTATCTACTATTCTTTTTATCCATATGCAATAGGCACCTTAAAAATCAGTACCAACACTAGCAGTATCTAAATACTGAAAATGGAATTTGTTTTCACTTCTGTTGATACCAACTTAACACTTCAAAATATTACTGTAGTAAGAGACCCTGATGATTTATGAACACTAGTTTTGTAGTAAAACCAATACAAGAATGTAGGCATTTTTATAAAAAGATTAAGAAAAAACTACCAAAATATACATTTTAATTGCAATTTAAAGTACTGAGAAACAAACATTTTTTCTTGAACGTCGATCAGTTTTTACAGAATTAGAGCTTAATCCTGCAAGGTGCTAAGGCCCTGATCCAGCAAAGCACTTGAAGCATAGGTTTAATTTAAGCATGAGTAGTCCCACTAGACAAATCAAGACCACCTTAGCAGGCTACACCAACCTCTTTGCTAGTGAATGGGCCTACTCATGTGCTTAAAGTTAAGCATACACTTTATCAGAGCCAGTGTTTAACATCTTTAGGATCAAGCCTTTACAAATGTCGCATCAATTACAGTGAATAAAAAGGCTATTTCCATCTCAAACTTGCACTGTATAAAACAAAACATTTGCTCACCTGGTCATCGTCGTAGTTGGGATCTTTAATATCCACTTCCTCCACGTCATACACTTGCCCTGGTGTACCCCAAACACCTTTGCCACCTGCACCACCTAGCAAAACATGCAAAAGTGAAAAAAAAAAGATAGCCAGCTTATGGTAAATGCTAGGTTGATCTCAAAATATCTCCATACTATCATGCCTCATTCGGGCATGTGTGTGTAAGTCTCAGATTTTCTGGGATATGCAGAAGTATTTGCATAATATCTTTCAACTCCCAGCCATTTGGGCTTTGCACCACTTGAGTCAGGAAACTGTAAGCAACATGAGGCAGCATGAAGAGTGCTGAAGGTTGAAATAATTGTGCTTTAAGTTATTAAAGGGAGTATCCCAGATATAAATTCCATCATAAACCTCAAGATCTGTAGATTGTACTGTACATTATAACAACAATGTAGTATACTAAAGAAATAAGTTGATTGTGCTTGGTATAATGAATAATGCATGTGTGTACACCATAATCCATTATTGAAGATCGCTATCTGCTGTGGCCATCCCCATCCAACCATTATAAAAAGAACTACTGAATGGCAGGATAGACGGAAAAGGTTGTTTAGGGAGAAGATAATCCAAATGGAAAAACATGCCTTTAGACAAAAGCCCATAAGCAGAGACCCTTCTTAGTAGGCTACACCAACCTTTCTTTGGTAGTCCCCTTCCTTTTCCAGACCGGGATCGTCTGTCCAGAAATTTTCCCTTTGGACTAGTTGGTGCAGTGACTCCAATTTTCAGTGCCTCTCCATTATCACTAACAGAGTCTCCTCTCCCAGAATCACGAGAAGAATTTTTCCTTAACCGCCTCTTTGCTCTAGCATTAATTTTAGCTTCATTAATGGAAGATGCAGCTATCCAATTTCCATTGATTTCAGTCTTTATTTCCTCACTTCCACCATTTTCTTCCTCACCAGAAAATGGAGTGTCACTTAGATGATCAAGTTCTCAAAAGAGAAAAGACACAAAGAAAAATCTAGTTACTGCTTTAAGCAGTTATCGTAAAAGTTATACAAAATATTCATCATGATTTTAAAAAATTACATGTTTAAAATGGAAACCTGTAATATAAAAGAAATATTAGATGTAAGGTTGCTGAACCAAAGTACCTGACCACATTCCAGTTACTTTTATTTAAGGCAAAGTTGTTGCTTTTCCATTGCCGGTGCAGTGGCATAATGGGAAATAAAGCTCTCCTAAGCTACATGCCAAAGAACATGTATGTGGGTAGGTGAAGAGCAACTGAATGAACATTTTACAAATAGATAAACCAAGTAAAGAGGTTCTGTAAACAAGCATGGAGCTACTTGGGTTTATAATGTCTCTCGAACTCAGTAAAACATATCCATTTTCCGTAAGTAAAATTCATAGAGTACCACTGGCTGCAATAGAAATAAGAGATAATAAACTGCAAGAGCACACACTTGGAAATTTCTCAGCATGCCACCAATGAAGAACTGACTTACCGGTTGATAAGCAGTAACGCAACTATTTTTAAAGTTCACCAAGATGCAACGGCATAAAATAGGAAGTCTTTCACTATACTTTATTGGGCTGGTTCTGCAAACACTCCTGGACGCAATGCTTACACCTACATATAGTCTCATTGCAGTAAATGGGACTACACTCTTAAGTAAGAGCTACACCCAATAATAAGGCTTGTAGGCTCAGACTTTAGTTTTTAAAATAGAATTCCATCTATGTGTACATGCTGAAGGTTTGCAGAGTGGGGCCCTTAGCATTTTTTCTATTTTTAAAACAGACTCTTGAAAACATGTCTGCCTATACTTAACCTGTTCTATGGATGAACAGAAAATTTTAAACTTCCCAGCTATCAATCTAGCACTTCCACATGCACAAAATTCATGTACAATTTTTTTAAAGTGACATTACTTCATTATAGTAAATACTACCTGGCAATTTCCATTTGGCTACGTTTCTCAGAACTGAAATATTTTCAAAACTAAGCAGTTTTATGGAAGGTAATGGAGAACAAAATGCCGTAATGAAGCAATTCCAACTTCAAAGTATCTGCCGGTGTCAAAGATCATTAGTTTATAAATTTACATATTTCAGAATGAAGAAAGCTTGATGCAAGTGTTTCTTTTCAGAATCAATGAAATAATGCTGAGATATTAGTGTTTCCAGATCTGAAGGTTAGAATGGAATGGCTGCATTACCGTTTAACTGCAAGTCACACTTTCCCACTAATTCCTTACTTAAAAATGGTTCCTCTCATGTTGGAAACACGCTAAACAAAAAAACAAGACCCTTGTCTGTGAAAGATATTCCCCCTAACTTGGGCTTTATATAAGTTTGCCCAACATCTTTATAAAGTAAAACAGAACTGTATATAACTAAGGAGAAAAATAAATAAATAAATAAATAAATAAATAAAAGGTGGGTTTACTTACACCCTTATTTCCCATAATGTCCTTCCCCAGCCCAGGTCTACAACTCAGCCACCAAAAAACTACTCTTCCTAGCGATCCCTGCTCTCTTGCTTCTCAGGAAGAGACTGGATGAGAATTACCCTGAGCCAGCTTTGTCCTCACTACTGAAGGGAGAGTTGTGACTGTATAAAAAGAAGGTGACCCTCTACTATTGTGGCAACCACTGTTATACAATTGCAACAAATCTTGTGCAAAGTATGCCTTGTAAGGTATCACTGGAAAAGTTGTGATCTGCTGAACATTGTTATCCTGTTTATATTTATGTATTATCATTGTGTATGAAGTTATGAATCTTTGCTATGTGTTTGTATCTCAAACATGTTGTGTTCCTGGGTAACATGCCCAAGACAGATTTACATCAAAGCCAGCCAGCCAGCCAGCCATGATTGATAGGCCATTAAAGAGAATCAACTCTTCCTGAGGATGCCTCAGAGAGCATGTAGACAATGGACGCCTCATGACTCAGCAAGGCACATAGAACATATGATCCCCGACTCCACGTTTGAGACGGTAACTTTCCATGCACATGGACTGGGGGGTATAAATTGGAGAGTGTGACATTTCTTTGCCTCTTTCCTGTTCCACATCTCTGGACTGTGATTTCTAACAAAAAAAGCTTTGAACAATGGACTGAGGACCCCCGATATTTGAGAGGCCAGAGAAACTTTTTACAAAACTGGCAGATTAACATCACTCCTATTATCCTGATCTACAAATTCTGAAATCAGCTGTAATGTATACGATTCACGTTAACCATTTAATAACGCTTCTTTTTTATTACTAAATCTTTAGTTCGGTTACTAAAGATTGGCTGCAGCGTGGTATTTGGTGAGATCCTGAAAGTAAATGTTGATCGGGGGGGGGGGGGGGGGGGGATGTCTGTCTCCTTGGAGTTGGAAGAACCTAATATATGTGATTTCTGGTTCTAATGGTCATTTAACACAGAAGTCTGGTTGTCTGGATGGTGCATGAGGGGCTAGAGTGCCTGAAGGGGCCTGTCTCTGGCTTAATAATAACTAGTATAGTATTTTGAAAGTATATATTTGTTATTGGCTTGGTGATAGAATATACCACCTGCCTGGAGTACATGCCCTGTATTTTGGCAATATGACCTGAGATTGGCACTCTTAGCTGTATATCAGGCAGCGTGACAAGAGTGACGTTACAGTCAACTCTGGTCTCAGTCTGTAGATCAGTAATATGGAAATCTTCCCAGAAGTACTTCTAAACCTCGAAGGGCCAGCACATTGTTGCAATGCTGAAACATTACATACTTACTATCAACGCTAAAATGACTATTTAAAAATAAAAGAAATTTGAACAAAGGCTATTGAGAACATACTTTTCCCCGTTTGTGCACAAACAGCTTACCTTTATAATTCTGTAAGCAACTAGACTGCAGTGAGAATTAGTCACCTCATTAGACTAAGACTACGTTAAACAATTAAGCATTAGTTTTGGCACTGGCCTATACACAATTACCAGCATGTTTTAAGCTCTATCGTTTTGCCCTCCACTACAGAGCTGGGTAAATGCATTAAGTGCAGTCTGAGAAGAGTAACTAGAAGTTTATCTCTCTAAAACTATTTATTAAAAATTTTAAATACTTTAAGTACAAATAGAAAAAAGATTTTTTTGAATAGTTTCACTGCAATGAAAAGCATTCTATATCAGTAAGCCTTTACCCATAATAAAGAAGTAAACCAGTTTAGCTAAATTGATCTAGTTAAACTGATACAACCACTAATGTAAAAACACTTGAAACCTTTAACCTTGGCTTCTATAAATTTATTTTAAAACTGATAATCTAAAGCAATTTAAGCAAAAATTAATGTGCTTAAAGTGCACCTACACTGGGTTTAACGCCATTAATTTAGTTAAGTCAGTCCAGTTTTCTAGTATAAAGGAGAGCCTGAGACTCATAGTACTTACTGAGCAAGTACAACCAGTTCATCTTCTATTAAATTTATGATCAGGGTGAGTTTAGCAATACAGAGGCTTTTGTAAAAGGAAATCATGCCTCTCCAGTCTATTAGAATTCTTTGAGAGGGTCAACAAGCATGTGGAGAACAAGGATGATCCAGTGGATATAGTGTACTTGGACTTTCAGAAAGCCTTTGACAAGGTCCCTCACCAATGGCTCTTAAGCAAAGTAAACAGTCATGGGATAAGAGGGGAAGGTCCTCTTGTGGATCAGTAACTGTTTAAAAGATAGGAAACAAAGGGTAGGAATAAATGGTCATTTTTCACAGTGGAAAGGGGTAAATAGTGAGGTCTCCTGAGGATTTGTACTGGGATCAGTGCTATTCAGTGTATTCATAAGTTATGAGGAAAACAGGGAGAACAGTTAGGTGGCAAAGTTTGCAGATGGTACAAAGTTACTCAAGATCGCAGTCAACTTTGGACTTAGCTAAGAGTTACCAAGGAATCTCACAAAACTAGGTGACCAGACAACAAAATGGCAGATGAAATTCAATGTTGATAAATGCAAAGTGCTGCACAGTGGAAAACATACTCCCAACTATACATACAAAGTGATGGGGTCTAAATCTGCTGTTACCACTCAAAGATCTTGGAGTGATCGTGTATAATTTTCCGAAAACATCTGCTCAGTGGCAGTCAAGCTAACAGAATGTTAGGAACTATTAGGGAAGGGATAGATAATAAGAAAAAAATATTGTTGTCACAATATAAATCCATGATACGTCCACACCTTGAATACTGTGAATAGTTCTGGTAGCCCTGTCTCAAATAAAGATATATTAGAAATGGAAAAGGTACAGAAAATGGGAATAAAAACAAGTATGGGTATGGAATTGCTTCCATATGATACTCCTGGAGGAATTCTGCACCACTGCACACATGCAGAATTCATGTTCCCTGCAGATTCCCTCCCACCCCCGCAGAAAATACATTTTGCCAGAGAGAGTCACTGCAATTACACATTGCGCCCACCAGGGGCTGCTGTGGCACCACAAGAGAGGGAAGCCGGCTCACAAGCCGGAGCAGTTAGTCAAGAGAGGGAGGAGGCAGAGGTCAGGTGAAGAGGCACAGGACACGGGGGAGGGACAGACAGAGCAGGGCACATACAGCTGCTGGGGGAGGGGGGGGTCATGCACTGGCGTTCAGGAGGGCTAGCAGGGGGACAGACTGAGGTGGGGACACAGGAGCTAATGGGGTGACAGCACTGAGTCAGGGGCTGAATGGGTGGGGGGTGCCAGGCCACATGTGCCTGACTCAAACTTTTGTACTAATATGCCTAGTAAGGAATTTATTTGTCAAAAAACATTTCCTGAATCTTTTTTATTGTCTGTATTGTTACAGACATACTTACTGACATGTATTTTGAAATAAATTATCGAAATAACTGAAACTAGCACAATTATATTGTGTTATTTTGACAAATAAAATATGCAGAATTTAAAAATATTGTGTGCAGAATTTTTATTTTTTTGGCGCAGAATTCCCTCAGGAGTAATAGGAGGAGAAATTAAAAAGACTGGGACTGAGATGACTGAGGGGGAATATAACAGAAGGTTATGAAATCATGAATGGTGTGGTGAAAGTGACTAAAGAAGTGTTAGTTACCCCTTCACATAATACAAGAACCAGGGCTCACCCAAATAAATTAATAAACAGCAGGTTTTAAACAAACGAAAGGAAGTACTTCTTCACACCACATGGTCAACCTGTGGAACTCATTGCCAGGAGATGTTGTGAAGGCCAAAAGTATAATCGGGTTCACAAAAGAATTAGGTAAGTTCACAGAAGACAGGTCCACGAATAGCTATAAATCAATATGGTCTGGAACACAATCTCATGCTCTAGATGTCCCTAAACCTCCGACTGCCAGAAGCCAGAACTGGATGACAGGGGATGGATTACTCAATAACTTGCTGTGTTCTGTTAATTCCCTCTGCAGCATCTGGCCCCTGTCAGAAGACAGGATACTGGACTAGATGGACAACTGGTCTGACCCAGTTCCCAGTCTTATGTTAATGTTCTTATTATGTGTTTCCTCTGCTTTTAATCCTAGGGAAAGTTATATGACAGCAAAAATCTCTGCTCCAAAGGAGTTTATTTGCTCTTGTTTAATCTTGACCTGAATTCATTCCTGTGTTTGTGACATCATAACTAGTTGCTGTGACAGGAATTATAAACATCGGATTATTATGACTTCAAAGTCACTATCATCTAGTATTCTAGTTAAGCAACCACTTGGGATGTTGCAAACAAAAACAAACAGGAGGAAAAGAGGAACTCCTAAGGAACAGAGATTTTATTTGCATGGAATTATTCCAATTTTAAAAGAAATACATCACGCAGCAAATGTAATATAGTTAGTAGAACTGTTTCTAAATAGATTATTTCTCCAAGTTTGTTATGAAGATCTTTAAAGAAATAGGTTTATTAAAAAAATAATAAAATGGAAAATCATGGGAGACGGGAGAGATTCCAGAAGACTGGAAAAGGGCAAATATAGTGCCCATCTATAAAAGGGAAATAAAAACAACCCAGGAAACTACAGACCAGTTAGTTTAACTTCTGTGCCAGGGAAGATAATGGAGCAAGTAATTAAGGAAATCATCTGCAAACACTTGGAAGGTGGTAAGGTGATAGGGAACAGCCAGCATGGATTTGTAAAGAACAAATCATGTCAAACCAATCTGATAGCTTTCTTCGATAGGATAACGAGTCTTGTGGATAAGGGAGAAGCTGTGGATGTGGTATACCTAGACTTTAGTAAGGCATTTGATACGGTCTCGCATGATATTCTTATCGACAAACTAGGCAAATACAATTTAGATGGGGCTACTATAAGGTGGGTGCATAACTGGCTGGATAACCGTACTCAGAGAGTTGTTATTAATGGTTCCCAATCCTGCTGGAAAGGCATAACGAGTGGGGTTCCGCAGGGGTCTGTTTTGGGACCGGCTCTGTTCAATATCTTCATTAACGACTTAGATATTGGTATAGAAAGTACGATTATTAAGTTTGCGGATGATACCAAACTGGGAGGGATTGCAACTGCTTTGGAGGACAGGGTCATAATTCAAAATGATCTGGACAAATTGGAGAAATGGTCTGAGGTAAACAGGATGAAGTTTAACAAAGACAAATGCAAAGTGCTCCACTTAGGAAGGAACAATCAGTTTCACACATACAGAATGGGAAGAGACTGTCTAGGAAGGTGTACGGCAGAAAGGGATCTAGGGGTTATAGTGGACCACAAGCTAAATATAAGTCAACAGTGTGATGCTGTTGCAAAAAAAGCAAACGTGATTCTGGGATGCATTAACAGGTGTGTTGTGAGCAAGACATGAGAAGTCATTCTTCCGCTGTACTCTGCGCTGGTTAGGCCTCAACTGGGAGTACTGTGTCCAGTTCTGGGCACCGCATTTCAAGAAAGATGTGGAGAAATTGGAAAGGGTCCAGAGAAGAGCAACAAGAATGATTAAAGGTCTTGAGAACATGACCTATGAAGGAAGGCTGAAAGAATTGGGTTTGTTTAGTTTGGAAAAGAGAAGACTGAGAGGGGACATGATAGCAGTTTTCAGGTATCTAAAAGGGTGTCATAAGGAGGAGGGAGAAAACTTTTTCACCTTAGCCTCTAAGGATAGAACAAGAAGCAATGGACTTAAACTGCAGCAAGGGAGGTTTAGGTTGGACATTAGGAAAAAGTTCCTAACTGTCAGGGTGGTTAAACACTGGAATAAACTGCCTAGGGAGGTTGTGGAATCTCCATCTCTGGAGATATTTAAGAGTAGGTTAGATAAATGTCTATCAGGGATGGTCTAGACAGTATTTGGTCCTGCCATGCGGGCAGGGGACTGGACTCGATGACCTCTCGAGGTCCCTTCCAGTCCTAGAATCTATGAATCTTTGAAAGAGCCACCACAATACAATTTACAAATAAAAGAAATTCCAGTGTCAATTAAACAATAGTTTAAATACAAAAACTAAAGACGTTATATACCTGTTGGGTTAACATTATATATCGGCTCATTTTCTACTTCCATAGTTGTTTAATTGCACTTCAACTGAACTGACTGTAAACGGAAATCTTTCCTTTCAGGCCTAAAAAGAAAGAAAAAAAAAAAAAAAGCAGTAAAAGCAATTAAAATTGAATACAGAAATACATTTGATTTTTCAGTGGACTAAAGTCTGACTGAATTAGAGTATTAGGAGTCTTTTACCTAGTCAACATTCATTTTCACCCAAATTCAAGTATTAAGACTGGTATTTTTTTTTAAATTAGCATTAACTTACTGGTACTAGTGAAAATATTCATGGGATGGTGAAAATGTAACAGAGAGCACCATTTATAAAACAGCACAGATAACAGTGTACAACTGTAATACCAAGACAAAGGTCAAATCTACACTTAAGTTTTACCAGTATACTTTGGTTTAAAAAACAAACAAACAAACAAACACCACACCCCTAACTGACCTATGTAGTTGTTATACTGGTAAAAACCCTAGTGCAGGCACAGTTACACCGATGTAAAGATGACGCATACCAGTATAGTTATTCCCCTTCCCATATATGACTATCTATGTGGGTTTAAAGCATCTTTATGACACCATACATGCATCCACACTAGGAGAGTTGTACTAATTCAACTATACCACTATAGTTAAAGCATTAGAACTTTCTAGTCTGGAGAAGCCCTTACCATGCATCCTAATTCACTGGCTCCCCTACACCCAAACACAGATCTATAGGCCATATACATTTATTCTACAGAAGTACACACACCTGAGAAGCTCTCACTTCTGTATTCTCTCATGAATACTCTGCTCTCTCCTTTTTCTGTGAATTCTGCTAGCTAGGGGCCAAGGTGAACAAGTTCTCTCTTTCTAGAGAGATTACTGTTATTTTCCTCTCCTCCCTTCCCATTCATCTCTATAAATAGCTGAATAATGAGATTTTGAAAGAGATGGCATCTCCCCTTTTCTTAAAAAAAAAAAAAAATAGATTTCAGCCAGTAAGACTACAATATGCAAGTGAATCAGGTGGGCAGTACACAAAGACATATTGGCTACATCATTTATCACAAACTTTTACCTGCAAAGTTTTCATGAATCACTTTGTAGTCTTGTGAATGTTATTGGTACGTGTAGTTCTCCCATGAGATTTCAATGGCTCTTCTCCTCTTCCCTTTCCACCTGTTGCAGTCCTGCAAACACTTTATTGTTGAGTGGCGAGTTTGTGACATTAGATGACATCAACCCTCCCCATTTTTCTCCTCTAGTTCACTTGCCTAGTACAGACTTATTGACTACAGTGATGAATAACCAGTGGTTGAAGGTACAAAACTTGCCTTTTTATAGTGATTTCTGTGTATAATCCAATTTTCTCAGGTCATACCCCAATTTCAAACAATTAACCTTGAGTAAGGCAATGTCCTCTTCCCCATGCCATCCAATACCTCATTTAAATATCTTTCTTTCAGCATTACCTCAATCATTCAGTTCTGAAGCACTCTTATTATGCTAAGAGTCTTCTCTTGTACTGCTCACTCAGGAAGGGGAATCAAGATCGTCTATTTTAGGAGGTTAATTTTCTTCTTCCTAGTAGAATGTTCCATTACAGATGTGTTTCTCCTTTAAAACAAAAGGAAAATACAATTAAATAGTAATAAAGAGACTGCATAGAACACTAGAACTAGGAAAAGTAATTTTAACATTTATTATAATAACTACCACCAGTGAGGAGGACTTTTTTCCCCTATACAGGACCTCCCACAAATCTACTTGAGACCACCTTCCATTTCAAAAATTTGAAAAGACATCTGTCTGTAATATTCTTTGGGGGGTCATGACCCTCAGGTTCAGAACCCCATCTTAGACTATAAACATGACATGGGTGCCAGCACACCTCAGCTTTACAGCTCACACAGTCACACTAATCAGGAGACTGCACTGTCAGTCAGGGCCGCCCGTAACTATTCTAGGGCCATACGTAGCCCCCCTGTGGGGGAGGGGGAGCAGGGCTGGCTTGGGGGGCATGGAGGAACCGCCCCCCAACAATCACCGGCGGCACTGGGGCAGAGCAGGGGCAGGAAGAGGCAGGGCGTGGGCTTTGGGGAAGGGGTGGAGTGGGGGCAGGGCTGGGGCGGAGCAGGGTGGGAAGAGGCGGGGCGGGGGCTATTGGGAAGGGGTGGAGTGGGGGCGGGGCTGGGGCTGGAGCAGCATGCAGATTTCCTGGTGCCCTACGCAGCTGCGTACTTTGCGTATGGGTAGGGACGGTCCTGCTGTCCATCTAGAGATGGATAACATTTACACCTCCAGACTAAATATTAACTTTAATTCTTAGGTTCCAAGGCCAGAAGGGACCATTGTGACCACCTAATCTGACTTCCTGTAAAACACAGGCAATAGAACTTCTCCAAAACATTTCTAGAACAGTATCTTTTAGTAAAACCTGCAGTCTTCATTTAAAAATTACCAGTGATGGAGAATTCACCAGGACCCTTGGTAAACTACTCCAGTGGTTAATTACCCTCACTATTGAATATTTACATCTTATTTCCAGTCTGAGGACTTGTCTTCACTTACAGCACTACAGAATCGAAGTCGGCATAGTTAATCCACCTCCCCGAGAGGCGATAGTTATGTTGACAGGAGAAGCCCTCCCATCGACATAGCTCTGTCTACACGAGGGGTTAGGTTGATATAATTACATTGCTCGGCGTGTGGATTTTGCACACCCGTGAGCAACACCATTATACTGATATAGGTCTGTAGTATAGTCCTGGCCTGAATTTCTTAATATAAATTTCCAACCTTTGGATTGTGTTATACCTTTTTCAGTTAGACTGAAGAATGCATTATCAAATATTTGTTCCCCACACTGGTACTTACAGACTAATCAAGTCACCCATTAATTTCCTCTTCATTAAATTAAACAGATTGAGCTCCTTCCGTCTATCACTATAAGGCATGTTTTCTAATCCTTTATTCATTCTTTTGGTTTTTCTCTGCAGTCTCTCCAGTTTATCAACATCCCTCTTAATTGTGGGCACCATCCCTGGCTAGTAACAGTCGCATCAGTGTCAAGTATAGAGGTAAAATAACCTCTCAAGTCCCCTGTTTATGCATCCCAGGATCACATTAGCTCTTTTTGCCACAGAGTCACATTGGGAGCTTACTTTCAGCTAATTATCCACCACATCTTTTTTAGAATCACTGCTTCCCAGGATAGAGTCCACCATCCTGTAAGTATGGCCTATATTCTTTGTTCCTAGATGTATACATTTAGCAGTATTAAATCGCATATTGTTTGCTTGCACCAAGTTTAGCAAGAAATCCAGATCACTCAGAATCAGTGACCTGTTCTCTTCATAATTTAATGCTCCCCAAATTTTGCAGTCAGCTGCAAACTTTACCAGTGATGACTTTGTTTTCTTCCAGGTCACTGACACGTTAAATATCGTAGGGCCCAAAAAAATGATCCCTGCAGGGCCCCACTGGAAACCCACCTGCTCGATGATGATCCCCCATTTACAATTACATTGAGACCTATCAGCCATTTCTTAATCCAGTTAAGGTGTGCCATGTTAATTTTATATCATTCTAGTTTTTTAATCAAAATGTCACCAAGTCAAACACCTTATAGAAATCTAAATATGTCAACACTATTATCTTTAATCAACCAAACTAGTAATCTCATTAAAAAGATGGGATCCAGTTAAATCCTGTCAAACTATCTTCCATAAACCCATGTTGGTTTCCATTACCCTCCTTCAATTCTTGATTAATTGATATAAACTGCTCAGTATCTTGCTCGAGATTGATATCAGGCTGACAGACTGATAAATTGCTAGGGTCATCCTGTTTACCATTTTTAAAAACTAGCACAACATTAGCTTTCTTACAGTCTTCTGGAACTCCCCAGTGTTCCAAGACGTATTGAAAAACTACATTAATGGTCCAGTGAGCTCCTCAGACAGCTCTTAAAACTCTGGGATGCAAATTATTTGGACCTGCTCATTTTAAAATGTGTAACTTTAGTAGCTTCTGCTTAATATCATCCAGAGAAACTAGCAGAATGGAAAGAGTTATCATCAACATATGAGACTGCATCATCTGTTTTCTCCCCAAATACAGAATTCATATTTACTGAACACTTCTGCCTTTTCTGCATTATTATTGCTAATTATAGCATTTCCACCTAGTAATGGACCAATACAATTGTCAGGATTCTTTTTGTTCCTAATAAAAATCTAAATATGTAATTATTGTGCTTAACACTGCTCACCATAGATTTTTCCTTGTGTCCCTTTGCATCTCTTACGAATTTTCTACAATTCCAATCCAATTACTATCAACTTCCCCCTTTCTTCCATTTGCTATATATTTTTATTTTTAATAGCTACCTTCACTACCCCTCTATATCAGGTTGTTTTTTTAAATCAGTATGGTTAAATGGGCTTGCTTAAACTTGGTAATGCTAGTATTCAACATCAGTCTTAGGACTACCTCACATTTCCTAACTAAAAACCTTTATTATTCATCTACAACAGTATAAGTTCTGAAAATCTGTACAAAGAGCATATTGGTAGCATCGTGTCATAAATACAGGCCAGTCTAGACACACGATGATGTGCTCCTATTTTGCTCAAACTAATTTTCCAAAGCTTCATATAGTGAAAAATAATTTGTCATGTATTAAAAAAAGTTTTCAAAGTTACACACACACACATTCACAAGAAGATCAGAGCTTTTGTGCCTCACAGCAAATCCAGAGCTAAGTTTATATACTGTAGATATATACACTCAAACTTGGTGTTAATTTTTTTAAAGCAAATCTCAAAGGGCTTTGCAAAGGAGATCAGTATCATTACCTTCATTTTACAGAGGGAGTGACGGAGGCACAGAGATGAAGTGACTTGCCCAAAGTCACCCAGCAGGCCACTGGCAGAACCCATCTCCCCTGAATCCCAGTCCAGAGTTCTACCAACTAGACCAGTGGTTCTCAACCTGTTCTCTGCGTATCCCTGGGGGGCCACAGACTAGGCCTAAGATTTCCAAAAAGGTCTGCACCTCCATTTGAAATTTTTTAGGGGCCTGCAAATGAAAAAAGGTCGAGAACCACTGAACTAGACCACACTGCCTCAGCTGAATATACAAGACAAACACATGGTAAAAGTAAGTATTATTTTCTCTATTTTATAGATGGGGAATTGAGGCAGAGGGAGATTAAATTACTTGCCAAGGAAGTCTGTGGCAGAGCTGGAAATTCAATCCACATCTTTCATATCTTAGTCCAATTACTTAATTGAAATACCCCCCTTAGCTGACTCTGCATTTGCACTTTTACATGCAAGTTGTGCTATCATGCTTTGAAATGTTACCACCCCCCACTGATCAATGATAAAAATACTTACTTGTATTACCACTTCCCTCTACCATGCAAGCAGATACTTTCTTTTTTAGTAAGTAAGGTTATAGCCACAAAATTGATTTTTTGGGGGGTGACAGAGGGGAACCACATGGATCATACATCTGGGTAAGCCACCGTAATTGAGGAAGAATGTGTACCTTCATTGACTGTTAACATGTTTAACAAAAAGTTACATATTTTTAGTATTATTGGCATTCAAACTCAAACAGATACTTAAAGCTTGTTTTTTCCCCTCCTTTGTGTAATCCCCAATAACAAAAAATATTCTGGGATAAAAGTAAGTAATATTATAGATGTGAAATAAAATCCAGGTCCCACTTCCACAGCTCTCTGTTCCATAGCAATGATACTTGGTTTTGACCAGTAGACTAAGCAGATATGACTATTAAGACAAAGATAGCCTCTTGCTGTTGGCTCTATTTTTCCAGTGTCACTTTAATTACTGTAAACACACTTAAGAAAACAAAACAGGTTGAACATTAAATTGTTAACACTCACGGACACACCATAGGTTCATGGAGCCTTTAGAGACAAGATCTGTAGTGCAGAGTTGTTAATATGAACAAAGTAATGCATATCAACATTATGTAAGTACTAAGTTAATGACCTATTACTTAAAACTACTATGAGGTTCAAGAGGATTACTTCTGCGTATTCATACTCCTGAGACTGATGCCACCTTAGCCCTGCAGAGTAAACCCTAAAATTCCAACATATTAATTTATGTTTGAGGCAGCCCCAAAACATTCTCAAAATGGAGACTTGCTCGAGGCTTAGGAGACTGCTGAAGACAGCCCTACAGTCTCTTACTGTGGTGGTGACTTCCTCAGAGCTAAGTAAGAGTCCTGCACTGAGAAAGTACCTACATTGGCTTGTTCCGGCAGAACAGAGGAGTATCCAATACCAACAGATCAGCAGATACCTACTCGGTACCTTGTTTCTTGTTATATGGGTAACTTCCAATATCAACAAAGATAAGTTCCTTAAAAGCCCAAATCATCCTCAGCAACAGTAACACTCCAACAATGGAAGAGATGAGGCCTCAGCACCCAGAGAAGATTTAGGTACTACAGTCATGGACCCTGGATCCAAATGGCACAAATTTTCTCACTTCCAGGGTCATTCCTGATTTATGTATCTGAAATCAAACTGGCTTACTCTCTGTGTCCCTTCCTCAGGCCAGATAGCCAATATGTTAGTGGACCCAAGGACTGGGCTTGTAAAACCTCCTTGGAAAGGCAACTGACACAATTGTCTAGTTCAGTTTTTTACTATTATTATTTATATTATGGTAGCACCAATGAACTTCAATCAAGGACCAAGTATTCATTGTGCTTGACTCTGGAGGGGGGGGGGAGTCTTTGCCCCAGGGAGCTCACAATCTCTACAGGTAGACAAGACAACAGGGGGACTTAAGTTTGAGCTTTTTTTTTTTTTTTTTAAGAATTTGCAGAACATTGTAGAGTGCTGCAAAGACTCTAAAAACCATAGGCTCCTGGGAGGCTTTGTTTTGGAGGGAGGTGGTGTCTTGGTTTTTTCTCAAGTCCATTATTTTCTCTGGTCTCTGGTAGACAAGGAGCTTTTCTGGATCATTCAGTTGTGAATATTTCAATGAGACACTTCTATTTATGTAGGTATTTAAACCGCACTCATCAGCCAAGTACATATCTCATGATCACCTGCATCCAAGCCGTCCCACTAGTTAACATAAGCAAACAAACCCCAATGTGTCCCTGGCCAAGAATTTGCAGTGATGTTAGATAAGGAACAAGGCTTCAGAAAACTCTAAAAATCTCTAGATTTAAGATCTTCTTTGAGTATGCTTGATATGGCAATCACTTCTAAAACTGTATTTCCCCCTTCCCCAACTTCAAGCAAAATATAGTAATCATTAATGCCATACCATGTTTTTAAACTGCAGCAAAATGGCTGAAGTCACATCTAAAAACAACCAAAGAAATGTTACTTAAACTTCACAGCATTTTTTCCTCCCTTTGAGCAGAGACCAAGCATGAAAACCTCCAGCCTGAAATGTGAACATTTCAAGGTTGAAAAACCTTGTTGTTACAGCATAATTTTTTTTGTGGCCATGTGCTCACTGTAGTACTGTAAAAAGATCCGTTTCCATCTAAGGTTTACACATACATACACTTTTATAGCACAGTATGCTCTATATAAATACTAGGTGCTAGTTATATAGGAAAGAGTGTATAAATAGCCTAAAATATTACTTATTCAAAAAAGACCTCAAGTGTTACAGTTAAACATACACCAATCCACCTTCAACACAAGTCTTAAAGCACACACTTTAAAGTATCAGAAATAACAACGGAAGTGGTTTTCATACAGATGTGGCTAGTTTGTTTTGTTTTTAAAGGTGCCGCAGCCAGCTCAGCCTTTACAAGAAAAGAAAGTGACTTTACAGCCTGGCGTGGCGGGGTAACCCACAGCTCTCCTGTAAAGAGCTAAACCAGGCTCCCTCCTCCCCGGTAACCAATTCAATCGTAGTGCTCTTTGGGAGCAGCATGCCAGTCACCGCATCCTCAGCCAGCCAGACTGGGCCGGGGAGCAGAGGAGTTGGGGATCACTCCTTCCCCACAGATGCCAGTGACTGTATCTTTAGGACAAAGCCCTGGCTGGGATGATTTAGTTGGGGATTGGTCCTGCTTTGAGCAGGGGGTTGGACTAGATGACCTCCTGAGGTCCCTTCCAACCCTGATCTTCTATGATGAAGACCACTGGCTCCATTAAGGGCACTGCTTCTGAGAAGGTGTCTTTAACGGGGAGTGGGGGAGGTAAGTCCCTGAAATAAACAGGGTAGCAGAGGGGAAAGCCCCCACCCCACCATTATTCCCCCTGCTGGGGGACAGAGCAGGGAGCGGGCATGGAGACCCCACACCACCCCCTCCCTGCTGAGGGAGCAAGGACCCCACACC